ATGGATGGCTTCAAAAGGGAATTAGATAAGCATATGGAGCAGAGGTCCATCAGTGGCTATTAGCCACAAGGTATAAATAGGGACTCTGGGGCAAGTGATACTCTCTCATCTTGGTGCTTGGGGGGGGGGGTCAACAGTGGGAGGGCTTCTAATGTCCTGGCCCCACTGGTGGACCTCCTGATGGCACCTGGTATTTCTGGCTACTGTGTGACACAGAGTGTTGGACTGGATGGGCCTTTGGCCTGATCCAACATTGGCATCTCTTATGTTCTTATGTCAAATAGACTCTGACCCCCAAGTTGTATGAATATTTGTCCACTATGAAGGCAGAATTATATGAGAAGTCAGAGAGAGGCTGCCAAGCTATGGGCGGAAAGGGATGAATGGGAGGCAATGTGAGAAATGCTTCAAAAGGAAACTGAGGCGGCGGAAATAACTGCTCAGACCAAGGTCCTAGAGGATGGGCTCCGAGACCCAGACTCAGACTCCAGCCTAGCAGAGCTGAAGGAACAAAACATGTGCCAATGAGTACTGTCCTACATAAAGGAACAGAGGGCCTCCATCCATAACCTCACTGGGGACAAGATCAACCAGGAGCCAGGGCCCCTTCAAATACTCAACCCTGCCACTTCAGAGTTCAAACTAGAGGCACCACCTTCGAACCAACTGGCAGTAGGCTCTGGACAGCTGGTGGTAGACAGACGCAGAAGTCGGGTGGAAATCCTGGGATGGCAGACATGGTATCTGCCATGGCCTTCAGCCTCTCTGAAGTGCCCTGGCATATGTGGGCAGATCACAGATGCCTCCATGAGAGAGGTGTGGCTTGCCATACACACTTTGAAAGGGGTTGGGAGGCAGCCAAAATGGACACGCTTTGTGCCCATCCAGACAAACAGCAAGCAGGGCAGAAGGGAGAAGAAAAGAGTGGGTGGCAGCTACTCCCTTTCCCCTCCATTTCCAAAGCAAATAGGTTGTCTGATGTGTGGAGGGTGCTGGACAATGAAGAGGAGATGGCTTGTGAGACCATGAGAAATTTTAAACCAAAATGGGGGCCCTCATATTGCTTCAGATACTCCTCATCACTTAGCTGTTGCTTTCATTTGAATTTCTACGTCACCCAGAAGTGTACAGAACTAAATTATCTCAAAATCCCTCCATGTATATGTGCAAGGCATGCAATCTGGTACAAAGATGATGATGCCTTCCTAATTGCACTGAGGAAGTTAGGGGCAGATGGAGTAAGGAAGAAGACAGATGTTTTCAGTCCTGGAGCAAGCTCTGACCAAAGTAAGTTCTGTATGATAAGTAAGACAACTTGCTTGGACAAAAAAAAAAAAAGACTTGCTGACCTAGTACTTGACTAGTTGGTGTGTGTGAATGTAACACAAGATGTGAATCTAGGTCTGCATCCCAGGCGAAGAACCGCATCTATTAACCTGTGTATGAACTGCATGCCTCTGGACAGCTTTTAAGTTATCGGATCTTCTCACTGAGTTGTTCCTTCAAGTACTCAAGTTTGGTGTAGTGGTTAAGTGCGCGGACTCTAATCTGGGAGAACTGGGTTTGATTCCCCACTCCTCCACTTGCACCTGCTGATGTGACCTTGGGTCAGTCACAAGCTCTGGCACAGCTGTCCTTGAAAAAGAGCAGTTTGTGCCAGAGTTTTCTCAGCCCCACCCACCTCACAGGGTGTCTGTTGTGGGGAGGGGAAGGGGTTTGTAAGTCGCTCTGAGACTCCAAGTGAAGGGCGGGGTATAAATCCAATTTCTTCTTCTTCTTCTTCTTCTTCCTGTCTTCTCTGCTCAGTATTCGTCATGGGACCGACTCCTTGGAACGGCCTTCCAGAAGAGGTTCGGAGGCCATCTTCATGGCATATTTTTAGGAAGGTGTGCAAAGTCTTTGCTGAGTTTTTTAATGGTGCATAATCAATGGAACAATTTCTTACTGGCCAGTTGCATCTACAGTGATGTTAGTGATCTCTGTTTTCTATACTTTTGTTGTATTTTCCGGCCATGTGGGCACTTTGTTAGCCACCTAGAGTCTTTGGAGAAAGGCAGGATATAAATATATCAATGCTATTTTATTTAATGCTTATTAGAATGCTACTTTCTGCCTTCCACAGAAAAGGAGGACAGGGTGATATAATCCTCTTATAAGTAAGATTAATTTAGTTTACAAATGAAATTACACTGATAATCAAATCAAATGTATGCATGTTTTAATATATGGTTGGCTTGCAGCTTTGCATTAGGAGGCTGAAAGGGTCACAAGTAGGGTTGCCAGACTGAGCCTGGAAACTGACAGGAAGGCTGGGGAATGGGTGTGACATCCAGGTTGTATCTGGAAATAACAAAGGGTAGCTCTAGGAATCACTGAAAAGTATGGTTTTACCATAGAGTTTCCTAAATTCCTAGAGCTACCCTTTGTCACTTCTAGGTTGTACCTGGAAGTGACATAGTGAATCTTTTTTATTCCCTTCCAGGCAATGGAGCTTACCAGTAGGAGGCCTCCCACTATAGGAGACATGACAAACCGAGGCACAAGAAGTCCTGATGTCCCAGAGAACAGACCAAGATCAACTAAAAGGAACTTAATGTGGGTCACTAATGAACAGTTCAAAACTAGAAAATAAGTTGCTGAGGGTGCAGCCTTCAAAAATAGTCTGCAATGTTGTGATTTTTTTTCCTCAGAAAAGGCCTTTGGCTCCCAGAACAAGATGGTCTTCAGAAATAGTTCTTAATGGGAGATAAAATCCTGAGCAGCACTTGCTCCTGTCAAGGGATCCGATGACCAGGTCATTTTTAGTATTATTGGATCTCAGGTTTTGTAAGGGAGCTTGCAGAAGTTTAGGATTGTGCAAAGATGAGTAGGCCCAATGGTCAACCACCATAAAAGGAAATGGAGGCAGTGACTGTTTGCAAAAAGGTGACCACTTATGAGAATTTAATTATTTAGAAGTGAACGCTACCATTGCAAAGAGTTCCCCACCTCAATGAAGAAAACCAACAAGGTAAAAACAGAGGCAATAGTCAACTCTCAGGACACTCACTTCTCAAGACCAGAGGTCGATTCGGGGGGGATCGCGGGGGATTGCAGTTCCCCCGGGTGAGGTGCAGGG